GAACACTATGTGAACATAAAGGCAAAGACTGGGGTGATATGTCTACAAGTCAAGGAATCCCAAAGATGGCCAGCAAACCACCCAGCAGCTATGAGAGAGGCCTGGAACAGATTCTCCCCCACAGCCCTCAGAGGAACCAACCCCGGAGGCTCTTTGATCTCCAACTTCCAGCCTCAGAAATGTGAGACAATAAATTTCTGTTGGTTAAGCCACTCAATGTGTGATACCTTGTTACAGCAACCCTAGCAAATATACATATTTCAAAACTAGACCCAAAGTCTGAATTTAGTATGATAGGTTTTGACTAATTTCAAAATGTTAACTTCTCTTTTCCAATATCTCCCGTGAAATTTTAGGTACCTTCCTATCATAATTCTACCCTTCGGAAACTAATAGTACTTAAACAGAAACACATTCCTGTGAAAAACCACTGTTAAAAACAACATTCTCATACAAATAGATAGGGAGCATCTGACAAAGTTTTATTTAACTCATTAATGAGGTAATCAACAGGAAAGACCAACACAAAATCAAAACATATATAAGAAATTGAGATTTATAATAGTCATGAAAAAAATGCCTAAAAAGACTGCTAAATCTGATGTAAGACTAGTTAACTTTCTACAGGTTAATAAGACCTTAATCCTGTGGCATTAACTTTTCTTTTAGTCTATTAAATCATAATACATCACCTTTTCACAGATTAACCACTAACCTTATGGGGCTATAAACTGTCAGCACCTCTATCAGTTCTGGATAGTTAATCAAACATACAGAGATAACAAAATTACAGTACCTAAGAGTATCAGGTAAGAGTCCATTACTGAGTAGTAAGTTTCTGCTTCTATTGGAGCAGGCTAATAATTAGAATATGTTCTAGTAAAGTAACACTTAATCAAACAATAACCATTTTTCCATTGTCAAAATTTGGGATGGGGCCGGCCCGGTGGCTTAGCGGTTAAGTGCACGCGCTCCGCTGCTGGCGGCCCGGGTTCGGATCCCGGGCGTGCACCAACGCACCGCTTCTCCGGCCATGCTGAGGCCGCGTCCCACATACAGCAACTAGAAGGATGTGCAGCTATGACATACAACTATCTGCTGGGGCTTTGGGGGAAAAAATAAATAAATAAAATCTTTAAAAAAAAAAAAAAATTGGGGATGATTTTATTCTCACTACTCATGGTTCAAACTATTAATTAGAATTCCTTGTGTAGCTTTATATATGTCTGGAATATTCTGGAAAATCTCTTAAAATAAATTACCTTACTCTCAAAACAATAATAATAATAATTTATTGGGCACCTAGTATGCATTGGCCATTCTTTTAACCATTCTTTCTTAGGTTGGAAACAGACTGAGACAGAAGTTTTCAGGTTTACTGGAGAGTTTGTGGGAGAGTGAGGAAAGGAGAATTGGCAAAATGAGAAGCTGAACTGCAATGTAATTGCAACAAAGCCTCAGTTGACCTCACATGAAGTTCTAGAGCTGGAATGGCCCTTCAGAGTTGCCCCAATTTCAGGCAGAGGCAAGACTGAATGCCCACATCAACCAGTCTTTGAATATGGGCAGTCCCTTGGGAGAGTATAATCTGGGAAGAGATTCTCTTATGCCAGGAGCAATGCCTGGGAAAGGGACTCAGCTGTAGACCATCAACAGCCAGCACTTCTGGAAGCTGGAAAAATGAACACCTTGGTCCTGAGAAGGCATGTGGGCAGCAAACCACACACTACACACCTCTAATACTTATGACAAACTTATGAAATAGATAATTTTATTATGCCCATTTTACTGATGGAACAACTGACATTAGAAAGTTTAAGTAACCTATATAAGCCATAAGCTAATAGTAATAAGGCCAAGATTGGAGCCCAGAGGTCTGGTTCCAATGGCTCCATCACTCTGCATTCCCTCTGAAAGGGAGAGGGAGAGAAGAGAAGGAAAGTCATAGAGGGAGAAGAAGGGAAGGATGTAAAGATGGTATAGGCCTGGGCATGCAATGGATTGAAGTGACCAGTGACATGCCCTAGGGTATAGGTCACTGAAGGACATTTAAGGACACAGTCTAATATTCAATTGGAAGTTGCTGTATTGCTGTGATGAAAACGCCTCCTTTGTCTCCTCCTCCATATTTCCCACCTGCACTTAAATCTTCAGGGAAGTCTACTCCTTGCCCTAAAGGCAGTGGGGTTTTATGAATGTGGAAATTAAAGAAGGGGCTGAATTTCACATGTAGGTCAATGAATACAGAATAGATTTTACCTGCTAGGATAGAAAGATAACCCCAACTCGAACACATTTAGAAAAAGCATGAGCCTGGGAACAGAAATAACCTTAAGAACATAAGCCCTCTGGGAATCCACAGAAATTTTAGGGGAAAGGACTTACATTTCCATAGCATTGTTCCCAGTAAAACTATCAACAGGAAAAGTTTATCTTTAGAGCCCCCGTCCCCATTTCCACGCTAGACACTGTTCCCTCGCCCCTTCAATTTCCCATCATCCTGGCAGCTATGCTGCCTCAACCACAATCTTGCTCACCTGATGGTATCACTGAATAGATAACCCAACACAATTTTGTAAACTGAAAACAGTTTAGGATATGTCCCTCATAAGGGTATCTGCATCCTCAAAAGGGACTCATAAAAATGCAAAAATCTGCATGACCGGAAAGAATGGAGTCAAATGACATTCAAAGTAGCTAAAATAATTTTCCTAAGCCACAATCCAGAATATTGTAAATATAGATGGGGGAGGGCATTGGACTTAGAGGGAGAGAACCTACCTACCTACTTTAAGGTCAGCCCTAGGTATAACGGCTAAGTTTACAGAGAGGCCCAAGAACATATCTATACGTTGAGAACACACTGCCAACTTGTATCAGTGAGGCGAGGGTCCTGGCAAAAAAGAGAACTCACCTCAGATGGTTCAGATGAAGAGACTTTAGTAAAGGAATTACTTAAAAGTAGGGTTGGGGAACAAGCCACTACCTGATCTCAAGACTCACAATAAACCTCAAGAAACCAAGAGCAGGTGGTACTGAATAAAAGGGAAAGGAATGTCAGGGCATCCAGAGACTAGAGAGCAGGCGAATGGTTGTCTTGGTGCGGTAAACCAGAATTAATGTAAAACCAATCTAAGCCTCAGCTTTATCTTTAGCAGACAAAGGAAATCCAGGCACATCAACCTCTTCTCACATTTCTTATTTTTCAAATCTTTTAGTCACATTTGCAACGCTACTAAAGTCTCTGTGAGATCAGCTTGGCTTTCAGCTGTATCTCTGAGGGCTAAGTAGAGAGCAAAGTGCCTTATTTAAGGTCAAATAGCTAGTTGGTGGCAGAGCCAGGAACAGAAATAAAGTCTCTTCATTCCAGCCCAGTTTGTCTGCATTATCACTGTATGGCCTTTGTCCATCCCACCCAGTTTGGCCTGTAGGTGTACATGTTCTTTTCATTTTCCCTGCCTCCCTAGCAATTAACTCCTCACCTCCCAGATCTTGTTTCATGTGTCCTGCATGCCTACTTGGAAAAAAAGAAATAATGATAAAAACTTTCAACAAGCCAGAAAGAGAAAAAAGTGTCCTCAATCTGATAAAGAGCATGTAGGAAAAATCTACAAGTAACATCATACATGATGGTTAAAGACTGAACACTTTCCCCCTAAGACTAAAACAAAGTAAGGATGTCTGATCTCATCTCTTCTATTCAACATTGTATTAGAAGTCCTAGCCAGTGTAGTAAGAGAGAATAAAAAAGTAAAGAAAAGAAAAAGGCGTACAGTTTAGGAAGGAAAAAGTAAAACTGTTTTTATTTCCAGATGGCATAATTGTGTAAAATCCCAAGTAATCTACCAAAATCTACCAGAAATAATATTTGAGTTTGTAGTCATAGTGGAAAGAAGCCATACACAAAAAGCAACTGTATTTCTATATACAAGCAACTACAAATTGAAAAATAAAATTTTTTAAATACCATGAAAATGGCATTCAAAAACATAAACTATTAAGGGATAAATCTAATAAAATATGTATAAGAACTTATACTGAAAACTACAAAACATTACTGAGAGAAATTAAAGAAGTTGTAAATAAATAAAGATATTATATCTGTGTACTGAAAGACTCAATACTATTAAGATGTTAAATCTTCCCAAAATGATACATAGATTCAACACAATCCCTACCAAAACCCAGCTGATTTTAAAATTTACATAGAAACAAAAAAGACATAAAATAGTAAAATAATCTTGAAAAAGTTGGAGGACTTTCACTACCCAATTTCAGGTCTTACGATAAAGACAAAAAAAATTGAGAGCGTGTGCTATCGAAGAAAGAATTGACAATTAGATCAATGGAAAAGAATAGAGATTCCAGAAATAGATCCAGCCATGTACAGCTTCCAAAGAGGCACTGAAATAAATCATTGGAGAAAAGGATATCCTTTTAACAAATGAAGCTGCAAAAACTGGTTAGAAAAAAAAATTAATCTTGACCCCTACCGCACACTGTAAACAAATAATGCTTCAAGAGGGATCATAGATATAAACCTAAAAGCTAAAGCTAAAGCTTCTAGAAGAAAACATAAAAATACCTTCATGACCTTGGAGTAGGCAATGATCTTTTTAGATAGGATGTAGAAAGTTCTAACCATAAAAGAAGAAATTGATAAACTGGACTTCATCAAAATTTAAAACACTTATCAAAAGAAGGATCAAAAGATACTTCTACTCACTCTGCCATTCCATTCCTGTGCCAGCAGTGGAAATGGTAGAAACAGGGCCTCTGAAAAGCTGCTCCTTCATAAAAGCAATGAGAACACTGGCAAAAAATTGTCAAAATCATATTTTTCAGAACTCTGGAAATTACCAATTGATTGGATGAGGTTGGCAGCAGCACTGGCCTTGGCTAACCGCAAGGGCAGGCTGAGCTCACCATCTTGGACTGCTGGTGGCTTCAGTGGGCTCCACTCACCAGGGGCTTGTCCACACAGCTCCCTCAGCACTCACCATCCCGACCAAGATTTTGTCATACCTTCCAGCTGATCCCTGGATGCTAGCAGCATCATGCTGCATTCTTCTAATGCATAGGGCCTGTTTGTTTGTTTGCCTCCAATTCACCCAAAATTATGATCATACTAATAAGACTGGACTTTCCCTGCCAAAAAAAAAAGAAATTCAACTACCTGGACCTGAAAGCATGGGTGGAATTAATCTTCCAAAATTTGTGGGAACCAAGAACTTGAGGCAACCCCAATTCATGCCCCATTTCTGCTTAGCAGTCCCCCACCACGTGGTCTCTTCTCAGTGGTGTTTCTTCTACTGGAGAGCCAGGTGGCCAAATCCACTAGCTAAGCATACACCCTAATGGGGCTTGAAATGCCTATAGAATCTTCTTGCACATGCCCTGAACTTGCATGATTACTCTCTTCAAGCCCTCTCCCTTTACCCCTAGTGGCAACAACAGAGTGAGGGAAGCAAATAAACTTTCTTTACTAGCATTGTTCTCCAACTAGAGCAACATCTTCTCTTCTATCCTCCCTTTATATCAATTTACAGGAGGGGAGGTGAAGGCTTTGGAGGAATGATTTTCTGGCCTCAGCCCTTCCAGTAGGTATCTGGCCTTAACCACTGGCAGTTCTCTAAACTTAGAATGTGAGTACTTAGTGTGTTCATGGTCTCAGCTTTGGGATTTGACTGAATTTCCAAGATAACAGGAAAAACTCTATTAATAAGAGTTTTTAAGAAAGGAGTAGACAATATGTTTAGCAAAACTAAAATGAGTTACAGAATCAGACTTTTAGACAGTCAATATTTTTATTCAGCGCCTACTATGTTTCAGGCTCTAAACTAATTGCTGATTGTACAGAAGTAAATAAAACACAGATAGCCCCTCTTCTCATTGAGCTTATGAGCTTGGTAAAAAAAAGAAAAAGAAACAATAGACAATAACTAAGTAAATAAACACAAGAATTATTGCTAATAGACATAACTGCTATGAAAGAAACAATAAGAATAAGTGGCAGAGAATGGGAATTACATTGATCGGGAAAGTTACTATGAGGAGGTGACAGAAACAGGATTTAAATTAGCCCAACTCTCTCACTTAATAAATACATGATCTATCTATTACTTAATGTCTCCTAGACTTACTTTCTTCATCTGTAAAATAGAAAGAACAATTTACTCCATATGGGGTTGTTGTGAAGATTCAATTAAATAAGAATATTAAAGGCATTTTTTTCCTATTACTTTCCTCGAACATAGTAAAGGTTTTTAAAAGGCATTTATTATCATTATATAGAGGATTAGCACTGTAAAGTGGAGAGTGAACTGGACCAAAAAAAAACAAGATTCAATACTTATTAATTTTATAACTCTGGGCAAGCCACATAACTGCTCTGAACTTTTGTTTTCTCAACTGTAAAAAAAGAGAAAACAATATCTGGCAGAAAAAGAGACTATAAACTATATTATAAGACAAAAATAATCATTTGTAAAGCCTCAGAGTACCTGATATGATTAAATAAAGAACATAACACTCTTAAGCAGAGGTGGATTTCTCATGAAACTAATGACGCTTAAACCTTAGGGTCTCTCACTTCTATAGGCCACTGTGAGTACTAGGAGTCACAGAATTTTGCTGTGGGAGGGGCAGACAGCATGCAATCAGGAAGTATTTATATGTAAACATTTCTGGTGTGCTGTCTCAAGAGATCTCAGGAAAAAGGGAGGCTAAACCTCAAAGACTCCATTCATGGGTCTACAAGAAAAATGTCTCTCTTGAATATTGGCCCTAAGTAATGGAAGAAAAAAACAATCTTCCCTGTATATTTAACTACAAGCTAGACTTCACATGGGTTTGTTCCCTGGGTTGTCCAAAAGACTTCAATACAAATACTTAGTATAAAGTAGCTATGGGTTAATGAATTTCCCTGAGTATCTAAGAAGCAAATACACAAGTCCTCCCTGGAGAAACCATTTTTAAACCCCAGTCTCAAAGAATTCCAAAAAACTACCATGACACATGAACTCTCCATCAAAAATCACAAACACAGGAGAATAAAAATTACTCAAGGATTACAAGCCAGCAAAAACAACAGACTCTAGAATACTAAAATTGTCATAAATAGAATATAAAATAATTATGTGTCATGTCTTCAAAGAAATAAAAGACAGGGGTCCGGCCCCGTGGCGTAGCGGTTAAGTGTGCGCGATCCACTGCTGGTGGCCGGGGTTTGAATCCCGGGCGTGCACCAAGGCACCACTTGTCAGGCCATGCTGTGGTGGTGTCCCAAATAAAGTGGAGGAAGATGGGCATGGTGTTAGCTCAGGGCCAGTCTTCCTCAGCAAAAAGAGGAGGATTGGCATGGATCTTAGCTCAGGGATGATCGTCCTCACAAAAAAAAAACAAAAAACAAATAAAAGATGAGGTTTAAATCAAGATTAAAAAGCAAGAGATCATAAATAAATATTTTAAAAGAATAAAAATAACTTTTAATAAGGAAAACTATAATTAAAAGAAATAACAAATGAGTATAATAGCATACAAAAGCAAAAGAAAAGAAAAATCAGTAAACAACAGGCATATCTAAAGAAATTATCCAGAATGTATAATAGAGATAGAAAACATGAAAGGAAAGGAAAGTTGAGAGACACAGAAAACAGTGAGAAAGTAAATCCAATATATGTCTATCAGAGTTTCAGAACGAGAAGAGAGAGAAGTGGGGAGAGGCAAAATTTAAACACATATTAGAAAGCCATTAAAAGCACCCAAATAAAAGGAGAGCTGTGTTCATGGTGGAAGACTCAATATTTTAAAGATGTCAGTTCTCCCTCAGTGATCTATGGGCTCATAAAATTCCAATCAAAATTCCGATAGGCTTCTGGATGAACTTGACAGGCTAATTCTAAAATTTATATAAAAGAGCAAAGAACAAGAGTAGCCAAGACTCCTGAAGAAAAACAAGTTGGAAGTAGGGGTAGCATTAACAGATACTGAGACTTGTTATAAAGCATCAACATGGGCCGGCCCCGTGGCTTAGCGGTTGAGTGCGCGCGCTCCGCTGCTGGCGGCCTGGGTTCGGATCCCGGGTGCGCACCGACGCACTGCTTCTCCGGCCATGCTGAGGCCACGTCCCACATACAGCAACTAGAAGGATGTGCAGCTATGACATACAACTATATACTGGGGCTTTGGGGGGAAAAAATAAATAAATAAAAATTAAAAAAAAAAAAAAAGCATCAACAATTAACACAGCGTGGTATTGAGATAGGAATAGACAAATTGACCAATGAAACCAAAAAAAAAAAGACTCAATAACAGACCAAAAAATATATGAAAACTTGATTTACGACAGTACTGGCATTGTAGAATAGTGAGGAAAGATACATTTTTCAATAAATGGTTCCAGAAAAATTTCTTATGCTTACAGAAAAAAATGAAATCGGATCCTACCTCAAAGAATGCATAAAAATTGATACCAGGTAGATTAAAGATGAAAATGTGAAATACAAAAACTATGTAACTTTTAGAAGATAATATAGGAAAGTAATTTTTTTATCAAAGTGGAGAGAAACGCTTAATAAATAAACACACACAAAAAAAATCCAGATATCCTAAAAGAAAAGAAGTTATAAACTCAAATTAAGTAATTGTGTTTATCAAAAACACTATGAAGACAGCGAAAAGACAAGCCGTAAAATTAAGAAGATATTTTCCACAAATTGACAAAGAATTAGTGGAAAGCAATAAGAAAAAGAATCCCGTCCCCCAAAAAAGTGGACAAAGATTTGAACAGGTACTTTACAGAAGAGGAAACTCAAACATAAGAAAGAAAAACAGAGAGAGAGAAGAAAAGGGAGGGAGGGAGGGAGGAAACACTCAAATTCATTAGTAATCAGAGAAACAGAAATTCACTCCCTTCCCCCAACCCACCCTCCTCTTCATTTCTCTGTCTACCACTTCAAACCCAACAGACTGGCAAAAATTTTGAAGTTTAATTTTTAATATTAACTCTTGGAAAGATACAGAACTTATATACTGTACAATACGGCACAATCACTTTGGAAAACAACTGGTGTTATATAGGAACATTGAAGGTGCACATAGCACAAGAATTACCAAGTACACACCAAGTGATAGACCCTAGATATCTCTGGCACATATGCACAAGATGATATCAAAAACATCATATCAGCACTGCTGAGTATAGAAAAACGTGGAAACAGCCCAAACGCCCAATGAAAGCAGACTGGACAGATACATTGCAATATATTCACAATGTGAAATAATACTCTATAGCAATGAAAATGAATGAGTTACAGCTCCACAGAAAGAAATAGATAAAACTCAGCAACACAGTGGTGATTGAAAAATGCCAATTACAGAAGACATACATTTGTAGTTCACTTATATAACACTAAAAAAAATCTAATAGAACCATACTATGTATTCTTTCGAGGTAGCATGGCATAGAGGTCAAGAGCACACAAGCCACAGCCAGACTGCCTGGGTTGGAATTCTGGCTACTACACTTACTAACTATATGATTAGACAGTTATTTAACCTCTATATACCTCAATTTCCTCATCTGTAAAATGGGGATACTAATCTACCTACCTCTAAGGACTGTTTTAGGGTTAAATGACTACATGGCACTTATAAGTGTCTGTCACAAAGAAACCACTATATAAAAGTTTTATGCTGCCATCATCATTAAAGATATAAATATTTGGTGAAAAAAATAATGAAAAGCAAGGGAATGATAAAATATTCAGGACAATTAGAGGAGGCTAAGGGATGGATTAAGGAAGATATCTAGGTGGACTTCAGAGGTTATGGTAGTCCCTTTGTTATTAAAATGGGTAGAGAATACTCAGGTATTTATTGTGTTACTATTCTTTATAATTTACAAACATTTTATAAATATTTTGTTGTATTCTCTGTTCTCTCTCTTCAATAAAAAATAATTTTAAACTTTATAAAACTAGGGATATGTGAGTTTACACAATCAAGTTACTACTGTCCACTCAAAGTTGCCACCCTAGAAAATCCACAAAAAAAATCTCTCAAT